GTTTGCTATACAAGAGGACTTGAGGCAAAAGGCCTGGCAGGCAAGGACAGAAATGGGAGGGGGAAATCTGGGAGGGTGTGCCCGAGTCAGAGTGGGGGCGGGGGCCGCAGGCTTGTGCAGGAGCAGAAAGGAGACCTGAGCATCACAGGAGCCTGAACCTCAGAGACTTTGAAGAACCATAAAGTATATGAAGTGGAGAAAGTGCTATTTTTAAAAAGCTGCCTGAGTTGTTGCCTATCGTTTTAAGGAAGCAAACAGAATTATCTTTGGGAGAAGGACCCGGCTGTGTGTTTGGGTGTTGGGTGGCACTGGGGGAAACTGCTGTTTACTTTTCTGTAGGTCAGAAAAACCCAGCAGCTCTCTCCGCATAGGTCATTGCTATGGACTGAATGTGTCAGCCTCCCAGGACTCATATGTCAAAGGCTAAGCCCCCATGTGATGGTGTCTGGAGGGGGGCCTTTGCGAGAAGACTAGGTCATGGAGTGGAGTGGGGTCAGCACCCTGACAAGAACAGACCTGAGGGAGAAGAGCTCACTGTCCTCCACGCAAGGACACAGCAAGGAGGTGGAACCTGCCACCAGTAAGGGCCTCAGCAGACCCTGGGCCTGCTGGCACCCTGACCTTGGACATCCGGCCTCCAGAACTGTGAGTAAATGTGTGCTGTTTACATTGCCAGCCTGCGGTGCCTGAATGGACTAAGACAGGAATGGTCAATCCCAGACCTTGTTCTGGAAGGAAGAGGCATAGACAGGAAGTTTTATATGTAAAAAGGGATGTGGCACCTTTCTGAGGGCAGTGTATGATGCAAAAGACATTGGTGCTATCTGCTTCCTTCAGCTAGGAAGAGAGGACGCGGCCCTGAGAACAATACCCCATCCCGGGCACTCCCATCTGCCGTGAGTTGGTGCTGCAGTTTGCTGACAGCTGATGTGGGTGAATTGACAGACCATTAGGGGTGACCCTGTGGTGGGGGCTGAGCTGCAACCCCAGGAACAGGATGTGGGTAAGCCAGGACTACGACCTCACAGTGTAGAGCTCTATGCCCTCCCCAAACATCCAGCTGAGTTCATGATCGCTTCAGCCTTGAGGTAGTTGCAGTGTAAGAATTGGGAGACAATTTCTACCGGCCAGGTTCCCACTGCAGAGAGCAGACTCCCCTCTAGCTGGTTGTGTTGGTGTCCTGAGACTACCGTCCAAACTACCATAGATGGTGGCTTAGAACAACAGGAATTCATCCTCTCAGTTCTAGAGACTCAAAGTCCCAAACCAAGGTATCTACAGGGCCACCCTCCTTCTGAAGTCTCTAGAGGAAGATGGTTCCTTATCCCTTCCAGCTCCAGGGCTCCTGAGGTCCCTGGCTGCCACCTCCCTCCATCCATACATGGCCCCCTCGTCTGGGTCTGCACCCTCTCCTCTTCTTACCAAGTGTCTTGCCAATGGGTTTCAGCCCTGGGCAAGTTCAGTATGGATTCAATGTGACCGAAGAAACTGACAGCAAAACGTTCTTTGGGGTGAAAGGGTTTATTACCCGGCTTGTTCTCCTGGCGGTAGGTCGAGCACTAGCGTCTCTGCCTCCACCCAGAGCACTGGGCCGAGCTCTCTATATAGCACAATAATAGCGTATTGCCTACAGGTGTGGAAGCAGCAGCCCAGCAGCAGGCCAGTTACATCATCAGGTGGTTTAAGTTCAGTGAGGATCCTGGCCAGGGGAGCCCCAACTTCCCCACACCAGACACCCTCAGTGGATTCAGGTCCCACCCAGACATTCCGGGATCTTCTCCTCACTTCAAAATCCTTAACTACATCTGCAAAGACCTGTTTTCTAGATAGTCACATTCACAGGTTCCACATGGACACAGCCTTTTGAGGAGAAGTGGGGATTAGGCCTTATTCAACCCACTATACTTGTTAAGCAAAAAGCAAGTTTTATAAATTATTGAATACTCACAGAATCTCTGGGAAGAGTAGAGTCAGATTCCAGGAAAAGCTCCCACAGGTAAGCGGGTCACCAGGAGAGCTCCGCTCAGCCGTGATGAAGCTGCAGGGTGCAGAAGCCACCTATTGACTTGGAAGCTTCCGTGGCCTCTGCCACAGGCCACACCAACACATGGGGGCCCCGCACCACGTTTTGCCAACATGACCAAGCCCAAGCCCAAGAGTGATGAGGCCGAACCTAGGTTACATGGAGACCTAGACCCGTGGTGTCAGAGACCATGGTTAGCTTCCCAGCCTCAATGCCCCGGAAGGCTGGTGGGCAGTGGGGCGGTGAGCACCCACCCAGGGCTGGATCTGCACATGACTCGAAGTAGCCAGTGGGAGCAGCAGAGCGTGGGGTGACAGAATGACAAGCAGCAAGCAGGGAGGGTCTCTGAAACAACCATTTTCAAACTGTGGTGTGCAGAAGAACCACCCCGAAGATGGGCTTAAATCACCCTGAGGATGGGCTCCGTGCGAGTCAAGACCTGCCCAGTGACTGGATGGGCCTGTGGCATGCAGTCATAGGGGAGCACGGTTAGCAAAGGAATGAAGCCCACCCCGGCTTCTGCCTATGAGCCCCCAGGCCTGACTGCTCCCACTGCCACTTTTGTGCCTCTGCCCCTGCCCCCAGTGCACACCCTTGCCTAGCAGATGTTTCACTTCTGGGCTTTCACATGGAAAAAGCTGCACCCAGGGACGAGGACATGTGGGGAGCTCTGCCCACGAGGATGCAGGGGGCCATCGGGCCTCCAGAAGCTAGGGCCTAGCCCCAACCCAGGCCGCTGGCAGCTCGCTAGGGCCTGGCCTCAACCTAGGCAATGAGTGGCTCACTAGGGGCTAGTTCTCAATCCAGGCAGCCCTCGGCAGGAAAGCACATCACCACCCCTGCTGCACCATTTCAAGTTTGAGGTAAGACTGAGGCAGATGAGATGCAACCCTCTCATCATTCACGCTCTTGACTTAAAATACATTTTATCTCCAAGCCAGGCCCCAGATGCTAAGAGCAGGTAAGGATAGAACAAACTACTCCTAGAATTCCAAATGCCCCTGGAAGTCCCTGAGAGAATGGACAGTCCCTTCTAGATGGCTCTGCTGTCCCCCTGAGGTCACAGACCCCAGCAGAGCCTCGAGAGTGACCCTGACCTTTCCACCTGTCTTCACTGGAGGCAAGGACAGAGAATGAGGAGAAGAGCAGGAAAGCATCGTGCCTGGGAACTCACAGTGAACACCTTGCCTGGTTCCCTGAGGCTGCAATGCCCAGGATGATACAGAAAGCATTCACATAGATGCACGCAGCCTAAGACAGAACTGTTTCTAGACCCAAATGGATTAGGATACTAGATCAAATTAAGAATATTCCCTTTCTTAAGTGGACTGATTTATTCAAAGATGTATAGCTGTGGGTCTCACGGACTCTTCTAAACAAGCTGTGAAATGTTTTAACAAATATTCAGAGATCTATTTCTAAGCTTCTGGGTTTTAATTTCTAAAGTATGTACCATTGTAAAAATGGAAATATCCTTGCATTTGTGCTCTTCCCCAGGAAATCCTACAAAGGATGGTTAGTATCAAAAGGTACCTGGCCTTGCATTTTTATCATCAGTAAAAGTTGAGGTATTTGAGCTTCCTAAATGGGGCTTTTCCATTGCCGCGCTGAGGGAAAGAAGGGATGTTCACTACGCTTGCTCCTCAGTGGTTGGCGTTTCCCACCCAGAATGAACCTCCTTTCCGCTCTTTCTATTTGCATCTATTTCATTCACAGGGTTGCTGTAACAAAGTACCGCATACAGGGTGGTTTATAACCCACACATATTGTCTCCGGGTTCCGGAGGCCGGATGTCTGAGCTGGGGGTGTCGGTGGGTGTAGGTCCTTCTGTGCTGTGGTGGAGAATCCACTCCAGGCCTCTCTCCAGCTCTTCTGTTGGTGTCTTAGTCAGCCCAGGCTGCCACAACAAAATGCCACAGGCTGGGTATCTTAAACAACAGACATTTATTTTCTCACAGTTCTGGAAGCTAGAAGTCCAGAACCAAGGGGTTAGCAGACCTGGTTTCCAGGGAGGGCTCTCTTCTGGCCACGGGTGGCATTTGTGCTGTGTCGAGGCAGAGAGAGAGCTCTGGTGTCTCTTTCTTATCTTCTATGGACACCAGTCCTTTCAGACCAAAGCCCACCCTTACAGCCTCATTTAACCTTCAGCATCTCCTGATGGCACTGTCTCCAAATGAAGTCCCATTAGCGGTTAGGGCTTCACACGGGGATCTGGGGAGACACAGCTCAGTCCGTAACCACTGGCAATCTGTGGCCCTCCTTGCCTTGTGTGAGCACACCCTGATTACTGCCTTCCTGCGCCCATGGCCTTCTGCCCCCGTGTCTGTGTGTGCCTGTATCCCTCCATTTATAGGGACACCAGCCACACTGGATTAGGGCCCACTCTTATGACCTCATTTTTAACACTATCATCTGCAGAGAGGCCCGCACTCTGAGGTACTGGGGGTTAGGACTTTAACATATGAATTTGGGGGGCATAATTCAGCCCATAACACCGTGGCCTTGGCCCTACCACACTCTGTGAGATCATCTCCTGTCCTCACACCCTCGGCCTTGCTGTTTGATTAACTGCCTCGAATTCCACTTTGCACGTGTGATTCCCAATCAGCTTCCTTGGGTGGCTGACACTACGAGGAAACAAAACCCCTCAGCCCTGGACCTAAACTTGCTCTGGTGGCCCTTGCTGGCTGCCCTGGAGTACTCAGTGCCCCAGAAAGTCCACAGGCCTTGCCCTCCTGCAGCCCAGCCTCCTTTCTTAGCTCTTCTGTTTGGCATTTGCACTGGAAGCTCAGTTGGGGCATGGAATTCACTGCCCACTGACTCGTTGACGAGGTTGTGTGGAGGAGCATTTGAGAAAGCAGAGGTAACAAACTGGTCAGAGGACAGACCCATGCCCTCCGGCCCCACTAACTTCCAGCTGTGACCTCAGCATCATGTGGCATTTCACTAAGCCTCAGTTCTCTGATCCGCAGGACCTCCCTGCCCCTCCTACAGGGGCTGTGTGTTAATGCAGGCGACAGTCTAAGAACACTGCAGTGCACAGCAAACTGCTCTTGTCTCCTAAATGTGACCTGTGGATTCCTACCCATACACGGGGCAACTCTGGAGCGTTCCCTTGGCACCAGACCCCACACCCCTTCTCACCATCTGCATCTCCTGTCAGAGGCTACTCCTCAGGGAGGCCTTGGAAGACCCAATCTGTCCCCTGCAACTTGTCACTCCTTACCCCCCTACACAACTCTATTAGTTTTTCTTATGTTTATGGGCTTCCTCCCACCATGAAACTTGAGGTTCCATGAGATTTGGCTCCTTACCTGTGGCCCCATTGCTGCACACACGGCATCCAGCGAGTTTAATGATGGCTCATTACTTGTTGAGTAAATGAATGGCCCAGGGTACATATTTGCTCAGGACCCACTGGGCTTGGTCCTTCCTTAGCCTGCCTGGATTTGACTCCAGGTCCTTCTCCCTTCATTCTCTGAAGCCTTTGACATTTAGCCGTAACACTTCACACATGCTCTCTTTCCAATTTGATTGCAAGTTGGTGAGTTATAAACTGAGTCTTGTAACTCCAAGTCTCTGCTGCTCAGCTCAAAGTTGCAGCCCCCATGAAGCTAAGACAAGGGCAGTAGTGATAAGGCTGTCACACCACTTCTGTGCTCCGGGATCACCATGCCGGGCTGCCGTGGCTCTGGGATGAGTGGATACCAGTGCATTTCGCTCTCAGGGCCTCACTGGGTGGTGCCAGTCCAGAAGGCAGAGCACAGAAACTGCTGCGGGGTCCCAAGGCCCCCCGTGAGATCACTTTGAGCCATGTAGAGAGAGGGACAGCCTGACCCTGCTGCAGTCCGTCCCGCCTCTGCCTGCCTGCCTGGGGCCCTGGGGCCCTGTGAATCTCACTCTGCCCCTAACTCAATTCAGGCCGTTGCCCGGCCTTTGCTCCTGGTGTTCCTGCCCTCAGTCTTCCCCCATGGCCAACCACCCTCATGGGCTTCCTCCCTCGAGGTCTGGCTTAAGACCCACCTTCTAGAAGAATCTTGCACCCAGCGTCTTTCTCCCTCCTGCAGTGCCTTGGCCTCCTGCCTCTGGCCACAGACTGGATTGACTGCCTGCTGACTTATGTCTGGGAATCTTCTCTCCCAGCAGGATGGCAAGTCCTGGAGATCTAGGCACACCTCTCGAAGCTCCACAAAACACTCCAAGAAAGGTCAAACTCAGGCTGAGAGGGCTTCATGCTCCATGCAGGGGTTTCCTTGATCATCACAGCCACTCACCTGACAGGTAAAGATCACTCACTTCCTCCGAATCATGTTGTCTGCTGACTAGTTCTCACCAGCGGCGGGTCACTTCTCACCGAGGCCCAGAGTCCCGCGGCCTGTCATGCTGCAGCAGCTCCGAGATGAATGTGGAAAAAGCTCAGCCTCAGGCCTCATGAGCAGGGAGAGACGGAGACTCCAGCTGAACGCTTGAGGAATCAATTAGCGCAAAAAGGCATGGTGATCTCGCCCTTCCCTAATTGTTCCATGTTACTTTTCCAGCCCCACTATTACGTCAGCGGGTGTGTAATTTATGCTCTGCAGCAGCTCCCCAACCTTGTCTTGACCCAAGCGTAAATCAGAACCATAAAACTCCCCGTGGAGACTGAAAGGAAATGCAATCAAAACTCTTTTGCAGGAAGGCCTGAAAACTGGAAAGCTCCTGAATGAAACATAATGGAGAAAGGATGTGGCCCTCCATCCCCATTTCACTCAGGAGCCGATTCATTCCAAAGAAGAAATGCAGATGCCGATACAGCTTGAAGAAAATCATTTCCTTATCTGCTTTTAATGAAAATAGAGATGACCATGCAAACACACTCATGTCTATTTTACTTCAAGACAACACTTACACAGAAGCCACCCAAGCAGTGCCTGAACCCAAGACTTACCTGGGCCCAACCCGCTTTCTCAGTGCACGTTTTGTGGAAGCAACATCATAGGGGGTCTTTTCTTCTCTCTCTCTCTCTCTTTCTCTACCAGGAACTAGAAAATCAATTATCTTCTGTCATTAATCATTGAGTTCCTCTCAATCCATTTCCATTTGCCTCCTTGCTGTCCTTCTGACACTTGTAGCCAAGACCAGCCACATCATTTCTGAGTCCCACTGCAAAACGAGAATATGGAGCTCCTTATTTGAAACTTATGGAGAATTTCAACATGGCCACAACAGAGCATAAAGCACACATGGGGCTCTCTGCACATGGAGCCCTGAGGACTTCAGAAGCATGAGCCCAGGAATCCAGCCCTGTGGGCAGCTTCCCCTGCCAGCATCCTGGCTCCACCAGCTGCATCCTGCTACTAGATGGACAGACAGAAATACGGCTTATCAGCAGGGTGGGATGCTCTTCTCCACCCTTCCGCCCAGGTACTTGGGGGCCCAGAATCAGCTTAACTCCCCTCAGAGGAGAACATTTTTCCCCCACAACACATTCTTAAGGATGACAGAGTGTTCGTTGCCATATTATTGTGTTTATGGTGCATGATGCTTTTAAACAGACTTTGGCCTTTCAACATCCAATTCTATCATAGTAATAAAACAAAACCATTTACTCCACAGTAACTGATAAGTGGGCCTACAGTGACTGTTCAGAGACTTGAGATAATTCTGCCAAAACCTTTGCTTGGAGTTGTGCCCATCCATCTCCATGTTTCACACCCGGCCTGAGGACAGGCTGAATCTTGGTCCCTGGCAGGCTTCCTTCCCTGCCCACCCTGAGATCCAAAAGCCATGTTTTAAGAAGGCTTTTCTCTGTGTGGGGCCCTTTAAAGTTCAGTGTTCACACTGCCTTGAAGATAAATGTCTTCAGACTCTCCATTCTTGGCAAATTGAACTTTAAAATCCCTGTGACTGGTAATTTTCCTAAATAGTTTCATGCCACCATTGCCAGAGAGGGCAAGAGCCCAAATCCCCAGGTGGGGCCACCACAGCCACCACCTCGGAGGCCTCTCCTCCTCATCAGAGCTGCCGGGGGCAGGAGTCAGGCAAGGATGAGAAAAGAGAGGGGCGCCGACCCAGGGCAAGAGGAAGGCAGACCCCTAGGCTCCCACAATCCGAGTCACTCTGACAACAGACAGACACCGGGGCTCAGAGTGGGACTGCAGATCTTCAAGGCAGCCAGCTCCCTTGGGCCTTCTGCCATGCAAATGAAAGTTTGGTCATTTCCTTTGTATCAGAACCACGCAGTACTATGTGCCGTATTTCCAGCTGAGCCCAGTTTATTTGGGCCTTTGTAGAATCATAGGCAGTGTGTGCCCTCATTCCCTCTCCTCCCTGGCCTTTCCCCAATAACAAGACAACCCTGCATGTCCAGAGAAAAAGCAGTTGCCACTAGCTGCCCAAGCCATTCGCCAAGAACAAGTGCTATTCTCCTTGAATAAGCACTGAATTAGCAAATGGCTTGCTCTGTCATAAACATTTGCTGAAAACAGCCCCTGGGTGAGTGCATGAAGGATGCAGAACAGCTATTTTTAAGTAACAAATGAGAACAGCAGCATCTAATTTTGGACTCCTGCTGGGTCTGGATGCTGGGAGCAGACTCTGTGAATCCAGGAAATGCCGAGGGGAATTTCACTGCAGCTCGGCCCTCCGCACCTGGCACACATGCTAGGACAGCCGGTCTCGAGGTGTGGGGCTGTGGTCCCTTGTCTCCTTATTCCATGAGGTCACCAGTCGACACGGTGGTGATATTGAAGGACGCCCACCTACCTTTGTCCCAGGTGATCAGGAGAAGGAAATGTGTATGTTGGGGAATCCTGTGTGCAGGCACCCAGGACATCTACGGAAGGGACCGTGCACAGGACATTGGGGAGGGGCAGGGAGAGCAAAGCTCCTGGGAAGAAACTTGCAACAAGCCCAGTGAGAAATTAGGCCTTTAAAAATGCTTTTAAAAAATGATCTAACATTAATTTTAAAACAGAAATAGATAATTAGTGGTGAAAATATTGAAAATTGTTACCCCCAGGGACACATCCCCACAGTGGCAGTTGTCCGAAGAGCACCGTTAACATTTGTGTCATAGCACCAGGTAAATGCCTGGCTTCCTTCTTCAGGGTGAGTGAGGCCTTTGTCCCCTGGGGAGGATGCTTCGAGTCCTGGCCATGCAGCCTCTTCACAGCAGCAGGAGGATGAGAGCAAGGAGCAGAAGGAAATAAGATCTGGGGCATGGGACCATTTTCCAGCCTGAACGTACCAGAGCGCCCGAATGTCAGGTGCCATCTGATCTGCTAACACAACTCTAAGGAGGACAAAGACACCCAGGAATGATGGTATCTGAGCAGATCCTTATGGGATGTGACAGGACCGCTCCCCATGGGCCTCTGGCACTTCTGAAATCATGAACTGCCCTCATTCTGTGCTGTCTGTTCAAGACCAGTGAACATCTTGAGTAATCGAGGCAGGCCTCCTCCAGAACAAAGTTCAATCACACTTACTGCACATTATCAAAAGATTCAGGTCCCTGAGCTCTGGGCTGCTCCCCTCCAACCCAGCTCAAGGTGTATGCAGGGGTCCCCTGACACCCTGGGCCTCCCCTTCTGGAGCCTTGGGCACGTGCAAAACTCTGACAGTTGGTCTCACAGTGAGAAATAAACCATCCTCTTTTTTCTGATCCAGAGGTTTTTTATCTTCTTCCAGTATCCATGATATTGTGGCAAGCTAACATTTTAGTGTGTAATTAGGACAAAATCTTAGACCATGCATATTTCTTGCCACTGAATTTCAATAACTGTGGCTGACAATTTTGGAGAATATGCTCTTGGGTGTGTGAATGGTATTGTGAGGTTGGTGACACGTCAGGCAGAGGCTACTGGTGGCCCTCCTGAAAACCTGCTTTCTCCTTTTTTCTATAGAACCAGGCATGTGGCTCTCCAGGATAAAACCTACACTTTCCCAGCCCCCCATGTAAATGAGTATGCTCATGTGACTACATCCTGGCCAATGGGATGTAAGTGAAGCATTGAGAGACAGCATCTAGTACCATTCCTTAAGACAGCTGGCATGTGCCTGGTGCCCCTTCTTCAACTTTTCTCCATCGTCCTGCTTGCAATGGGGGTGTGGCAGCCAATGCTGCATCCTGGCCCATGGGTGAGGGCTGTGCTTGGCAGTGCAAAATGATAGGAGTCCAGGTCCCTGACATGGTGAGGAGTCATACCTGACCTGGATTTACTTAAGAAATAGAAATAAACCTTTTTGAAGCCAGTGTCACTGTGGGTTTTCTGTTACTAGCATGGAATCACCCTTGACTAACATAGTGCTTGGTGTCCAAGCAGAGTGAGTGTTGCACAAGGAACAGACCCGGGACACCTGAAGGTGCCACAGAGGCTGGCCCTGGCTGGACTGAGAGGGAGGCCTTGTCTTCAGGAGCCTCCTGAGCTCCCCCGCCCTGTCCCCCTCTGCCCCCACCTCTTCCCATGCCCACTGCTCCCTCCTCCTATGCTGCCCACTGCCAGCCCTGCTCTGGGCTCCCTGCAGCTTCACACCTCCCTCCACGCAGAGAAGCCACATCTCCACAAGATCTGCTCTTTCAGTGTCGGCTTTGGGAAGAGCAAATCCCAGTCTCCTACTGATGCTTTGGAAGCACCTAAAAACAAAGCAATCTAGACACACACTTTCATAGGTGTTTGGTTTATGGTATAACCCTTAATGGTGGGACATGCCTGATCAGTCATACTTGGGTGGGAAAGATGTGTCAGGGTAGAAGCTCCCCACCCCAACCACCCCTGGGGCACCTGAGTAGGTGACCCATGCCTGACACCAGCCACACACACAAAGGCATGACTGGCCGACTCTGCCCAAGCAAAGTCATCTTCCCCATGGCAAGTAAGAGGGCAGATTCACCACCCAAACAGAAACTGGAATCTAAGAGCAGGATTGATTCAAGTGACATCATAGCAGCACCCGTTCATCACCCACCCACTTACCCATACCACATGCTGCTCTCAATGCCACATTCCATCTACAGAGAATGGAAGATAAGCTCAGCAGGCTCCACACCCCACAGGGCTGCAGGTCTAGTGAGCTTCAGGCTCCCCAGGGCAGAAACTCAAACACAATTATTCAGATAATCGCTTACACTGAACAAAAGGAGACAGTAGTGAAGGTGAATTCATGGGAGAGATTTCTAAAAGCTATGATTCAGGGTGAGTCCTGTTCATTGGCAACCATCATACCATGGTTTTTTCAAAACACACCCCTTTCTGTGTTCTGCCAGTCAGACAGGATCTCCTTTTGAATACTTAAAAAAGTAAACATCCCTGGCAAAAGTAAACATTTGATTTTGATGAGAAAATCAAAAATGGTATGTCTGTGTGTTTATAATACTTAGTTTCCTGATGTTTCAGCTATGAATACTTCAGCTGCAAATATGAGACAAGTCCAATCAACCATGCTGTTTAAAAATAGAGGCTCAGGGTGAAACCTGGATCAGGTAGTAGTTGGGCTAACAGAGTTGTGCCAATGTCAATTTCTGGTTTTGATAACACGCTTTGGTGACATGAGATCATACAAGTGACACAGGAACTTCCAGTACTATCTTTGTAACTTCTTGTGAGTCTTAAACTATTTTAAGACAAAAAGTATCTAAAAACACAAAGGTTCATTTGAACTCACAGTTAGAAACCCAGAGGTTGCCAGCTGCTGGTTTGGGTTTAGGCATAATGCTGTCCATGACCTGGGCCCTGTTGACTTTTTCATTTCTCTGCCCTTTGCTCATTGGCCTTTGATTCTCCTCCCTGTGGTCCTATGAAGGGCACAGAAGCTGCAGCCCCAGGCTTCATGTCAGCACCGCAGCCAAGGGTGATGGAGAGGAACCAATCACATGTGCTGCCCCTGCCAGGGAAGCAAAGTTATGGAAATGTGACCCCAAATTAGTTGACACTTCTCCCTCCAAAACGTGGAGCTTCATTCCCCACCCCTTGCATGTGGGCCAGCCGTAGTGGCTCACTTTATGTGAAAGGTGTGACAGAGGTGATATGGGAGATAGACTCTAAGAGGCCCCCCGGCCCACCTCCAGAGATTAATGCCCATGCACAGTCCCCTCCCCACCGAGCAGGGGCAGGACCTCTGACTTGCTTCTAACCCATACAATATGGCCAAGGTGATGGAATGTCACTTCTGTGGTTGCATCACATGAGATTTTGGCTTCTGTCTTACTAGAAGACTCTCTCCCTGGCTGCCTTTGATAAAGTGCCATGTTGGAGAGGCCCACATGGCCAGGAACTGAGGGCAGCCTCCAACCAACAGCCTGCAGGGAGCTGAATCTTATCGACAACCACATGAACTTGAAAGAAGGTCCTTCCCCACTGAGCCTCAGAGAAAACCCCAGTCCTTGACAACACCTTGACTTCAACCTCATGAGACCCTGAAGTAGGGAAACCAGCTAAGATTCCCAACCTGAAGGACCTGTGAGATAGCAACTAGTGTTGCCTTAAGTTGCAGTCGGTGGTAATTTGTTACAAAGCAATAGCTAACTTGTACAATGATACTGTGTGACTCAAGGGAAGGTCCTAAAATGGATAGCTTCTACTTCTCTCTCTCTTTCTCTCTCTCTCTCTGCTTGCTTTGGGGGAAACCAGCTGCCATGTCTTAAGAACACCATAGACAGCCACATGGGGAGGAACCGGAGCCTCTGTCCATGAGAACAAGCCACCCTGGAAACGGATCCTCCAGCCCAGACAAGTCTTTGGATGACCATGGCCCTGGCTACAACTTGATTGAAACCTCATAAAAGATTTCAAGCTGGAACACTCACAAAGCCACTTTAAAAGTCCTTACCCACAGAAACTGTAAGGATAATAAATATTCATCAGCATTTAAACCATGAACAAAGGGTCTATCATTGGTTACGCCGTGATAGATAACTAATGCAAGTCCATGGGCCACAACTAGGTCCTACACCACAGCCACTGGCAAAGAAGAATGGGGCCACAACAGCTGGCTTGGGACAGTCATGATCCTTCTCCTGCAACCAGCCTCCCCTGAGATCCAGGGTGCTCACGCACCACAGACTGGGGTTTTGTGAGCAGGGAAGAAGTTGGGGAGGGAAAGGGGGAACGGCTTTGAATCGGCAAAACCCTGACATCCAGCACACAAAAATGCTTCCTTGTAGGTTAAAGATATGTTTTTAGCTAAATACTCACCCAATAAACCTAAAAAGAATAAAAATAAAGTAAATAACAAATTCAAGAGGAAGATAAAAATAAAACCTGGGTGCTTCCAAATTAGGGTTATAAATAGAACTGTACCCTTCCCCTACATGTCAATCCATTCTGGGCATCTTGGAAATACCTTCCCATAAATAAACTTAATGATGTAAGTTTGATTCCTCATCCGACTTACTCAAACCTGATCCCGTCCTAACAGAATGTCTTGGTTGTTAGAAGGGCAGGGCACCAAGAGTGTGGGTCCCCTACTCTGCTCAAGCCATTTGGTGAAGTGCATAAAATAAAATGTACAAACCACCATTCACAATGATCCACAAGTAATTAGAACACCTAGATTTCAATGAAAAAGCACCAAGGACTTGCACAATAGATTTTTGTATGACAATCTTGGTGACGAATGCTGTAAGTGTTGTGGGAAGAAAGTGAGGAAGAATTTCTCTGCAGCCCCGGGTAGCAGTGGGCTAGAACAACAGAGAGGGGTGGGGGTGAGGGACCCAAAATCTGAGTTCATTTATGCTTAAGTAACTGTTCAGACAGAAGTGTCCCTGCATCAATGATCAAGAGCCCAAAGTCATAGCCAATGTCAATGAACAAAGTACTTCCAGGCACATTTGTTAAAATCCATCTCCATCTCTACTCACCACCATCACCAAGTCCCCATGAGTAGGGACAGGCTTTGAATTCTTCTGCCAGCAACCAGCTCCACTGGTTTTTCCCAGCTTGAAGAATATACACCAAGTGCGAGCCATACAAACTACTAAAAGGTTAGAGATACAGGTTTAGCTACAAATTCACCTAATAAACATAGCCTAGGTTCATGAACATGTTTATCAATTCTTCTTTAAGAAAAAAATCTGACTTCAAAAACTACATCAGGTAAATTATTAGATCATGAAAAACAATTTTCAAAAGCTGATAGTATGGGGTAATGTTTTAAAAGGTAATTAATTTAAAGGGAGGAAAATGACAGTCTACCAATAGGGAACAGATTTAATAGTGAAAGTATCTAAGAATTGTGCTCCTGTGTTTACTGCTAATTCTGACCCACCCCTTATTCCTAAGGGAAATGTACACATTTTCAGAGAAGTCTTTCTGAACAATAATTTTGCAGGAGTGTTTGTGCTCCTTTTGAGCCAGCAAAAAGCAGCCAGAGAGAGTCATAAAACACCACCCCGGAAGATCTTTCCAGGTGGAAGTATGGCTCACTGGGGGGCCAGCAAGCAGCAGCTTTTAATAATTACCCACTGCGGCCATGCTAAAGACGAGCAGTTTCAGTGCACAAATGTCAGTCTGTGAAAACGTCCAGCTTAGCTCCCAGAACAAGGGGATTCAATATTTCTTTAATGCATTTATCAGCTCTAATTAGTAGTAGCTCTTGGCTTCAGTGATTTTGATAGAGCTTTAACACATGACAAAAACTTCATTTGGCAGGGGAGTCGGAACGCTCCCCTCTCAATCCACCCACAAGGCCAGCCTGACTTTCCAAACTAAGCTAAAATCAGAGAGGGACTCCACACACCTAGGAGAGGCCCTGCCACCAGGGGCACACTTCATCCTCGGCACCAGCGCTGGTGAAAGCCGGAATTTCTGGGGCTGAGCTAATGCTGTTAGTCACTCAGAGGGCTCCCAGAGGCCCTCACACAAAGACAACGTCTCATTATCACAGAAGGGACCCGAACCCCCACCAGACACATCAAGTCACCTGGGTTTTCTTGGAGGTCAGAGGAGGCAGGTATTTTGAGACTTTAAATTTGGGTAGAAATTGCTGAGAAGACCCTTTAGGCAGGAATAAATGGTGCTCCAGTGGTCTTAAGACATTGACAAGCTTTCTGAGCCATTTATAAAAGCATGAATTTAAGTGCAGCCAGTTCTCAATTACCTCAGCTAATGCTGGTGAAGAGAGGCACAGAGAATTCAAAATAGTAGATGCTAAAAGGTTGTTTGTATTTGGCCTGGAAAAGCAATTTGCATTTACATTTGAATGAGAGTGAGTCCTACATTCTGAGAATGTTCAACAGTTCTGATAAAATATGATGTCTTGTTTGAGAAGGACAGCCTGTATTTGCCTTCCCTCCATCACACATGATACTGAAGATAAATTGTGTTCCCTCTTAAGCTGGACAGCAGCGGACACCCTGTCCTGGAGTGACATGATGGTCTTGAACACCCACAATTTGAGGGGAGCAGGGAAGAAGGCACTATTCATTTACATAGAACAAAAGACAAGTGTGGCATATACGCATGCATTTCAGTGGGCCTGCCACCCCACCACCAGCATATGCTCTTATTTCTCTCCTTACTTTTTCTCCAAAAAAATTGCTCAGAGCATTTGCTTCCATCAGAATGCAGCATATAGACATCCTGCCTCCAGTCCTTGACCACAGGGCAGGACCTTGTGTCTGAGCAGCAAGGACACACCCCTAACCCAGTGATCACAGGAGTCAGCAAGAGGGTAAGCACCTCTGTAGACGTCATGCCTTCAGCCTTCCGCACATTCTGAGTGGGCCTGGTGGAAGGACAGGGATTCTTTTCCATGAGTACAGAGATCTTCACTTGCCTGAGTTTATTCTTCAGGTTCATAGGGAGAGACCTCTCTTGTCCAGAAACAGCTCAGCCCCCTGTGGGAAGGCTTGCTTTGAGAAGGTGGGTACCAAAATCAGATGTCAACAGCCAGAAGCCCTCCAGGTCCCATGGCCAAGCTCAAGCGACAGCAGCCATGATGAGCAGTGTAGCGGGGGACCTCCACGCAGATCACAAGGAGCTGTGTGATTTCAGGAAGTGATTCAGTGCCTCCTTCTTGTCTTAACCTGCAGAATCACAGGCTGGGCCATTTCTTACCACCTTGGGAAATAGCCAACTCCAAAAATCACTCTTAGAAACCCTCCGACCTGTCATCCCTGGTCTTACCGTCAGCAAATCCAGGTGTCTCTCACTTCAAGTCACCCAGAGCCAACCCAGCTTTCAGCATCTGCCCTGCTTCCTCCCCGGTCCATGCCTCCCGCAGCCCCTGGACTTTTCCCCACCCCTCCCTGCTCACCAGTACCCCTGGCAGTGTGAGGACCCTGTTAAATGCTAGGAAATTCTGCCACTCCTTTGCTGGGGCTGCTTATTTTTTTCAGAGTAAAAGTTACTGTTTCTCTAATGGTCAGCAAGGCCCTTAAATCCCACCACACACACACACACACCACATGCATGTTCAGGCACAAGTGCACATGCATGTACATGAGCATGCTACACACATGCACACACGTGTGCACATTCACACACATGCACATACAGGAGTAAACACACCCACACCACACATGCACATACTTGCACTCATCACACACACGCATGTGCTGCATGCATGCATACACGTGCATGCTCACACCTGCATGCATGCATGGACTCACATGCATTCCCATACACAGTCACACATGCACCTCTCCTGCTTGCTTTCCTTCAAAACACCAGGACGGTGCCTACCTCAAAGCCTTTGTATGTGCTTCATCCCCCTCTCCATACCCATACTCTAACCCCTCCTCAGCAGATATTACTCCTTGGCACACATCACCAGCGGTCATATGTGTGTTGGGCTTGTTTGTCATGTTTATGCTCTCTCCTCTGGTGAGAACACAAACCCCTTGGGGCCAGGCTTTGGTCTGTATTATTCACTGCTGCACCCTGGCACCTGGACTACTGTGCCTCATAGCCCCAAATCTACCCTTCCATGCCTTCTTGTGATGCTGGATCTGGGCCCTATAAATATTCCCTGCTTACCAGCAGGCACCATGTTAAACTATGCCATCAGAGGGTGCTGGAGGACCCCTGAAGGGGGAAAGGGTGCATCCTCCTGATTTTATGCCCTTCTTGGCCTGCAACAGTGGTGACCAGTGGCATGTGGAATACTCAGGACACTAAGTCCCCCACATGCTGAGCCCAACAAATTCTTGCTTGCTCTCCACACTGTGAGCTCCCAGAAATGGTTCCCCCTGAGTGTGCCTCAGTCACACGCCCCCCCAGCAAGCCCAGAGTCCTAGAAGAGAGGCCCTCTTCCAAATGCGTCCCTTCCCTGGACACTGCCTCAGCTCTGGGTCTCAGGTGACCTATGTCTGCTGTGCCTGTGTTCTTAGAACTCCCTTCACCTGTAACTAGTTGAGCCCCTGTTGCTGGCTAACAGTTTGATAACAGATTTCCCAGTTCAAATGGCTGTGTGGCTTCAGTCTCCTGACTAGACCCTGCTAGATATACCAGGGTTTGGTACACAGTCGTTTGCATTGTTTGAAAACTGGATTAACCACATTTATTCATTTCAGATCATCATCACTGTAGGATCATGGAGACCAATATTTCCTATGCTTCATTTACAAAGTGGAAAGAGAGGCAGCAGTTCCAGGAACACTCTCTGTGCCTCACACAGAGTAGGAAATGCCCTTTGGTCATCTCATATAACTCCCAGCATCCCTGTGGGGCTTAGTGTTTATTTCTAATTGTGGTAAACGAACATAGCATGGAATGACCATCTCCACCATGTCTAAGCGTACAGTTCAGCAGTGTTAAGCACATGCACATGGTTGAGCAGCCCATCTCCAGAACCTTTTCATCTTCCCCACCTGAAACTGTCCCCAGGAAACATTAACTTCCCATCCCCCCAGCATCTACCACCCTCTTCTCTGTCTCTGTGAATCTGACTCCTCCAGGGACCTCATATAAATGGACTCATACAGTATTAATCCTTTTGTGACTGGCTTATATGACTCAGCACAATGTCCTCAAGGTTCATCCATATGGTAGCATATGTCAGAATTTCTTTCCTTTTTAAGGGTGAATAATATTCCACTGTGCAGAGAGACCACGCCTTTATCCATTCATCTGCTGATGGTCACTTGAGCTGCTTCTACCCTTTGGCTGCTGTCAAGAATGCTGCCATGCACATGGGTGCCCAGAGCTGGGGGTGGAATTTCTGTCTCTGTTTTATGTATACTGAGAAAGTTAGGACTCAGAAAGGTCAAACAAGTCTTCCAGGGTTACACAGCTCTAGGTGGCTGATCTATCGCCAACACATTCCAATGCCCCACCCCATTTTTACATCTGTGACTCAGCCATGGGACAATGACCAAGGGCCAAACAGAGATGAGAGTCCCCCAGACCCACAGAAACATAGTACATTGTCTGCACTGTTGGCAAAAGGTTGCCCCAAAAGAATAACTGTTATACAAATGTAGGTATAACCAGTAATGGTTAGTCCTGGGGAGTTGACTGAGAGTAAAGAGAGGCTTCTTAATTTTTGTCACAGTATGGTTGTATCTCTATAATTGTTCAACAGGAGCGGCTGCCATCTCTGCCACAAGCATGAAATGGTATGGTTGTCCTTTATACTCAGACCCTGGGTTGTGCTCAAGCAGTATCCCACCCCCATAGCAGCTGCACAGCTGAGGCAGGTGGAGGTTCATAAACATCTCTGCTGGGGGCCCAGGCACCCTGGACTTACATTGCAGTCCCCAGCCCACCCTGCTTTCAGCCAGCTCCATGTTTACTCTTCAGGGAGCACCATCGATCCTGGGGGCTGCCCCCCAGGCCTGCCCCTTCACAGTACCACTCAGCCAAGGCCCAGCCCTTCACAGTGCCTGTCAGCCGAGCCTCAGCATGAAGAGACATGCTGACTGCCCACTGCTGCAGGCCACACTGTCCAGACTTACTGTAAATGCCAGCATGCATGCGTTCCCTCTTCTCCCAGAGTCCTTGCCTGTTTCCTTTGCATCCTCTGCTCTCTGCAACTCTGTTGAGACCTTCAACAAGTGGCCTCCTTTCTCTGGGTATCCATTTGTCGTCTGTGAATTAGGGAGCAGCTCTAAAACTATTCCCTAAAACCCTCTTCAGCTGTAAGAGTGTTGTATGATTTCATGTAGAGCTTAGGAGTTAATGCTTCACATACTTGGAGGCTTCCTTTGGAAGGCAGTTGGGGCAAAGAAACACCAATGAGCAGTGGGAAAAATATCACTGTTGTCAAGATGTTAACAGCAATTCAAAGGCAAGATATAGGGTCCAGTCAGGACAGACGAGGTGTCATGGGCAATGTCAAGCAGTCATGCCAAATTGCTCCTCAAATTGCACTCAAGGTTATGACCTTTTAGAAGGGATAACTCAATAGCTGTATGCACTTTCAGCTGTCTCTACATGGTAGCTAGTACAGGCCATTCTTTTCAACCCATCATACAAAGAATTACTTGTGGCCAAAGGCTTCTTAGGTCTCATCTAATGGTACCTGCGTCATCTTGCTCTTACGTCTGAGTACCAGGAAATTGAATTTTAGACCTACTGTACTGTCACCATAAAATGTTAGCTGCAGATACAAATGTTCAAAGAGAGTATGCCTTTGGGGCTTTAGAAATTGATAAACAAGGTTTTGCAACATCCCTCTGAAGAAAATTTTCTAACACTGAACAGCCCAGGGGCCAGTTATCGGGCAAGTGCCAAGTGAGAAGTTCAGAGAGTTCCAAGTGCCTGCCAAGTGCACACAGGGCCACATCCTGCCACATCCTCATCGCATGAGGATGCTGAAGCACAGCCGTCCATCTCAGGGGATGTTAAAATAGTCTTCACAGAAGAAAGACAGCCTCTGAAGGCCAGTTTTTGTACAAATTTGGAAAGTCAGATCCAGAAAGATCTAAGGTGCTTTAAGTGACTTATGCCCAGTCTTTGCTTGCAAAGACTCAGAGGTAAGCAAATATCACCTGCATTTGGTACCTGACAGGTGTGGTCAGTGCAAAACCCAAGATGTGCTGAGCAAACACTACCCCCCAAGATATGACAAAGAAAACTAAATCACACCACAAACCAACTTGACTCACTGATGTGGAGGAACAGCCAATTAGGAAAAAAAGTAAAAAATCCATTTTTCTCTTCTCAGTGTTTGAACAGCACTTTTTTATTTAGAATTGGCTTCATCTTTTCCTGGCCCCAGGCACCCCACCTTGACAGCAGCCTAGGAAGAGCTATGTGCCAGTGTCCCTGGAATACCATCATAAACATCTGGACTCCTGGCAGATGACAGAAACCCAACATCAATCAGCCAAAGCCACAAAACAGGCACATCAGCTCACCTAAGCAGAGCATCTTGGTGAGTTTCTAAAGATGAACCTAAGGGATGAAGTAATGTTGTCAAGGCCCCGTCTCCACCCTTTCTGCATCAAAGTTCTATTGTCTCTGCTCCACTCTGTGTGTCGGGCTCCTTGACACTGTCTACAATGAAGCAGTGCCCATGTGCCTGGTGAGGTTGCTTCTGACAGCCCAGCCTGCATGCTGGAGGTCCCATTGCTCAATTAGGAGCTGCCCCTGCCCATCCGATTCCAGAGACAAGTGCAGAGAGGTGCTCCCATTGGCCTGGCTTTGGTAAAGTGTCGACCCAGAGTGAACGCTGTAGATGCTGTAATTGCATCTCCCTAGCTTCTCATGGACGCAGCACATTACCTGGGGGAGGCGTGTGACTACCAGACCACAGGGCTTGTGGGTTAGGATGACATTCCTGCAAAGGGATTCCAGGCAGATGAAAGCCAGAGGGGGCCATACAGCTGGTCCACCTGCCCTCCAGAAAGCTGGAGGAGGAAGGGATCTTGGCACCCTGCAAGAGACCCAGGAGGGGCTCATGACAACACCATTATATTCAGCTCATAAGAAAGTGACCCAGAGAGACCAAGTCTGCAAATCCATCAGGGTCAGCTAGCAAACACCTGGCAGGAGGGGCTTACCCAGCATGGGAGCATTTTATGGGGTGGTCGGGCTGACCACCCAGGTCTTCAAACTAACTTTCCACAGACACACACACACATACACACACACACACACACACACACACACACACACCATTGGTTCTCTTTCTCTGGAGGACCCTGGCTGACACAAGGGGACACTGAGAAGGGGGACAAAAGGTGACTTTGGAGATCACATTTGTAGGAGGCTTTTTCCTAAAAGGAAAGGAAGTGAGAACACGTGCTCGTGGAGCTGTGGCATGCATCCTACTTGTATTCCAGACCCTGACGGTGAGCAGCTTTCTCTTCCTCTCAGAGCCACATCAGCTTCCCACCTGAAGGAGCCACGAGCAACCTGAGCAAATCCCACACATCACCCACCTGCATGTCGGGCACCATTTTCATCTTTGGTCATCTCTTTACTGCTCCACTAAGCAGCGTCAACCACTATCTTGTCCTGTGTGTCTACAGGAAAAAAACAAACAAACTGGGTAATAAATACCTCTCCTTTAAGCCTCCCCACACCCTACCTCTCCATTTGCGAGGTCATGAAAATGAGTTGTTGACCCCAGGTGTGTCCCCTAAAGTGTGGACATTCGTTCATTTAATTCACATGTGCCGGCACAGTGCCAAAAAAGGACAGGTTCCTACTCTGGGCCACTGGCAGGGCTCCTCACAGGAAACCCCACACTAAGCCCACTTCTGTCTGGGTAATGAAACAGCCAAGAATCCTCTCAACTCCAGGTGATTCTAGACTATAAGGAGAACACAGAGCCAAATGCTGCGAAGACTCAGCATTTTTCATCTCTGCCAGTTGCAAATGACTGTGGGGGACCAACACTGACACCAGCTCTCAAAACAGCTTTGTTTCCTATCCTGGCCCTGAGTCATGACTCAGTTTCCCCATCTATGACTTAACAACAAGGAATGTCCTCTGATTTCTTGCAAGGATTAGTGTAAAGCAGTGACAACACTATTGGAAGTGTCTTAAATCATGTAACACAAAACGGATGCACAAAGGTCATCTCCAAGGGAATTAGCTCCAGAAGTAAAGCAGGCCCTCTTTCTGCCCGAGGCTGCTCTCTTCAGAACAAGGGGCCTGGTGTCCGTCTGCCTTCGCTGCTCGCCCTCCTGTTCTTACAGCTGGATGCCCTTAGAAACCGCTCTGCACGGTGAAGAACAAAGCCCTCGTAGGACCTAGAAGAATCCCTGCCAAATCATCGGAGCCAAACTCAGGATTTTTTTAAGAGCCCTGTAAAACCATCTATAAATAGAAAGGCTTTCCTGTTATTTTTAATCACTGCATTTTAATGAAAACATACTCCATGCGGTAAGGATTGGGAGACGGCCCTGCAGGCTCGCAGCCCTAATGCCACGGAGTAGCATGGGGCGCTCTTCCGAAGGGACGGCTGGCTCCAGCCAAAGGAGCCCCGGGCTGGGGGCCTCCCTGCCCCCAAAGATCTGTGAGGGGTTCTCCTTCCAGGTCAGTGGTCCCAAAGCCCCCCTTGGAGACTTCCCAGGGTGTTTCGCATCCTTAAAGCGTATGCACGTTTCCAGAAATCAAATGAGGACTGACTTACTCCCATTTAAGGTGAAGTGGATGGACCGCAGTGCTTCGCTGGGAGCTGGAGGAGGACACGTTCCTGACGGCCACTGGGCAGATGCCCCAGCAGCAGAGCTGGTGGCCAAGGGTCTGAGGGGAGGGGAGGGCCTAGCCCCGAAGCCAGGGCCTCCCGTGCTGTGCCTCCTCCAAGGAGGAGGGCTCACTCCTGCCCCATGGTGGCCCAGGGGTGACAGGGCAGACAACCCTGCTGGCGGCCCAGCTAGGCCTTATGTGACACCATATGCCCAGGGCAGTAAGCACCACATCAGACAGGAAAAGGAGTCAGGCCTGAGAAAATCCAACCACTTCCTCTTGTGAGAGCTTAGCCTCCACGTCCCCACGTGGTTCCACATCCCAATGGGAAGCTGTGCCCAGAGCTATGCCCAGCCACACCGACAGCCAGCAGATGCACAGAGTGACGGGGAACCAGGGAATAGTCATCCCCCAGCAACAGGTCACTGCCCTGCCCACTAACAGCTCTGTGAGCTGGGGTGTCCTTCCACCCCTCCATGCCACAGTTTCCTCATCTACCAAATGGGGATGAAAACTACACCGACTCCCTGGGTGATCATGAGGACCGAGGAAGCTGACTCGTGTCAGGGCCCTAGGAGAGTTCCTGGCACATGGGCAGCCCTCAGCAGAGGTGATCATTAGTAGACAAATTAAAGTCATCATATTGTAGAGCCATGGTGTTGACTGATCACACGGAAACATTATGAATCTGTTCTACTCAGTTATGTCCTGAGAGGAGAGAACAGAGATGCCACAAAATGTGAGCATGTAGCTGTGCGTGTCCCCTTCATGCAGTGGAGGGAAGAGCTTGCCACTCTGTGATTCACCTCGCTTGTTCTGGGGATGGCAGTTTATCATTTCCTGTCTCTGCCTCACAAGAAGCAGGTAGCAGAGCCATTCACTGCTGTGTGTGAAATGAAACAAACACACTTAGCAAAGCAGGAGGTAAAACAGCCCAGAATGTTTCTGCCCTCCCTGTGCTGGGCCACCCCTCTCAATGGAGAGGGCTCACTGCAGCTGGTTTGGGGCTTATGGGGGGGTCATGTCGGGAGGGTTTCCGGACACCAGCAGCCAAGCTCAGATTGAGCATTTTGACTAGATTAATTCTAAAACTACACACTGACTTCTACAGTTTATATTGTAGAGAGAATACTGCTCAAAAAAAATAAAAAGAAGGAAAAGAAAAAGAAAAAAGAGTCACTAATCCGTGACATTTATGTCCAGGGATGACACAAATGGAAATCTGAGGAAACCAACCTAATAATTTACCAGCAAGTAGAATTTCTTAAACATCGTGGGCTGGCTGCTCCTTTGAGCTTTATTCGTTGTCTGCTTGGATAAGAAGCAACACATTATACTGTCCCGTTGGGAGTGCTGGCCAGAAATTCTCTAAAACATGTGTCCTACTCAAATCCATCAGGGTTTCTCTTTGGGGAAGCAGCTGCGAGTGAGTTCTCTGCACCGTCTCATTTCTTTGCTCTCCTTTCCCAGGATGAACTGCTGCAGACACACCCTTCTCTCTGAAAACTGGGGGCTCAGCATGGCGCCTGGTTCCAGCCAACCTGAGCAGGGAGCAGGTGCCGCCCCACAGACTGTGTGGCCTTGAGTATGTGACTGAGCTCCTCATCTCCGTGGTGACATGGCAGGACCTTTCTCACGGGTTCATTGTGAAGGGTCACTCAACCAAGGTTGGAAATATTCCAAATAGTCCCAGAAACACAGTGAGTTGCACTGGGTTTTTAACTTCTCTTCTTCTCCCAGTTACCACCAAAACACCATCTGAACCTCAGGCAGGCTCTTGCTTGCCTGGGACATAAGGCCACAGTCAGGAGCTCAGAGAGTTACACGTAAGTTCTGGACATCTTTAGCCGAAACAGAGGTCAGCAATCAAGGTGACCTATTCAATAAAACAAATTCACTTCCCATTCTTGAGTATTTTATGTGTGCATTAGAAGAACTTTAAAGTTAAATAAGGTCAAGGGTATGATTTAGTACAGAAGTCAGCAAAAAATGACCCACAGGCCCACTGCAGCCCATCATCAATGTGAATCTGATGACTAAGCTGAGAAAAGTTCTCACCTTTCAGGGTGGTTTTAAACCATCAGTGGTTAATACTGTGGGACATGTGAAAATTACATGAAACTGACATTTCAGTACCCATAAAGAAAGTTTTATTGGAATACAGCCATGTCCATTCATTTACATCTTGTCTATGGCTGCTTTTTTCTCAGCTTTATTGAAGCATAACTAAAATTGTAAGATATTTAAGTGTGGGGTGTGATGATTTACTATACATACACCTTGTGAAAGGATTTCCCCCATCAAGGTAATTACATACTGACCACGGCTGCTTTTGCACTGCAACTCCAGAGCCCAGTAGCGACAAAGACTACGTTGTTCACAAAACAGAAAATAGTTACTTTCTGGCCCTTACAGAAAAGTTGGCTGACCCATGAGTTCCTTCCTTTTCAACCTTATTCTTAATTTTCCTTTTTCCATCTCTAGCAACTTGATAAAAGTACTAACTGGAGGACTGCAGGGTAAACTCCAGAGACACAGGTTTGAAAGCGAGAGTGCCCAGAGCACCAACTTCAGAAAAAAGACATCCAGGTGAGCTCATGATCCTTCTCCACAGAATCTCTAAGGAAAGCTGGTTTCCAGTAGAAACCAGAAGGGGAAACGTTAAACTATAGATTTTTCTGAGGGATAAAGCACGGACTTAGAAGGGCTTTCTGTCCAACCTCCCCATCTGCTCTGAGGTAGTTCAGGTCCTTAATCACTGCATCTGATGCTGCCCTGCCAGTGGGTTCCAGCCCCAGGTAGTTCACTGTGGATTCAATGTGACCAAAGAAATGACAGTAGAATGTTCTTGGGGTGAAAGGATTATACCCAACTTTATTTTCATGGTGGCAGGTTAGTCACCAAAATCCCATTCACTCAGACCGAGTCTGCAGGCAGCAAGCAGGTCTCTGCCTCTGGGCCTCTCTGCCCACAGAGCCGTCCTCTAGGCCTCTGTCCTCGGTGCTGCCACCACCCTAGCCTCTGCTCTGCTCTCCTGTAGCCTTGCAGCTGTGCCACCATGTCGCCCAGAGTACTGGGCGGAGCTCTTTATCTAGAGTCACTAGCAATGTATTGCCCACAGGTGTGCAGTGAGCCAGCCAACCAGGGCCAGGTGAGAATCCTGGCCACAGGAACTCTCATTTTATCCACAGATGCATATACTCATGAAACCTCAGGGAGATATGTGATCAAATGTACAAATTTAAAAAACATAAAAATGTTGCTTGGATGTATTACATTTTTTTAAGCCCAGTGTTTAGCGGGTTTGTATTTTTCTTTTCAATTTTATTTATAGACATCATTCATCTAAAAAAACTGATCTCTCACTTTTCTTTTTTCAAACCATCCCCTGCAGGAAACACACATAAAGATAAGCTTATTATCATTTGCTGATTTATATAAAAAATATACAATGTACATGTGTTTTTACACACTGTTTTCTGTGAAGTGTTGTTTTTATCATTGTAAATTTCTAGGGTTCTAAAAAAAATGAAAAGGGAACAGTGCCTACCATAATTTTCTGGGAGTTTGCATGCCTTTCGGTGTATCCTGCATTTGGGGATGAAGTTAGGCTGGCCTGTCCTCATGGGTGACACAGAGAGAAGAACTCTTCAACGCACAGGAGGGGAAGATGGTGCAGCAGACCCAGCCTGGTGTTTGCAGTTCCCAGCAGGACAGTCATGGAGCAGTCGTCTCGGCGGTAACCACCTTGCGATATTTCCTCTTGGAGGGAAGAAGCTTAGGTAGCCCCAGGCAGACTCTACCAAATGCAACTGTGTTTGATTATCTTTTACTGACATAGAGCCAACACGGACAGTTCTCTCACACAAATTACCTGCAAGAGCGATGTTAGCAGAAAGCAGTTTGTCGTCTTCCACCTGGCCCTTCCAGATGAAATGCAGCAGCAACCAAGACCCCCCCATGAAGTGCTCTGGAGTCCCTCCCCTCTCTCTCCCGGCCACAGGTCTCTTTGGCACCAACCCCTCAACACCTGTGTCCCCCCTGCCTCCATGGGGACCTTACACTGAAATCCGTCACAAGACTGTCCCCAGGAGTAACCTCCAGTTACATGTAAAACTTAATTAAGTGATAGTACTGGGCGGAGCTCTTTATCTAGAGTCACTAGCAATGTATTGCCCACAGGTGTGCAGTGAGCCAGCCAACCAGGGCCAGGTGAGAATCCTGGCCACAGGAACTCTCATTTTATCCACAGATGCATATACTCATGAAACCTCAGGGAGATATGTGATCAAATGTACAAATTTAAAAAACATAAAAATGTTGCTTGGATGTATTACATTTTTTTAAGCCCAGTGTTTAGCGGGTTTGTATTTTTCTTTTCAATTTTATTTATAGACATCATTCATCTAAAAAAACTGATCTCTCACTTTTCTTTTTTCAAACCATCCCCTGCAGGAAACACACATAAAGATAAGCTTATTATCATTTGCTGATTTATATAAAAAATATACAATGTACATGTGTTTTTACACACTGTTTTCTGTGAAGTGTTGTTTTTATCATTGTAAATTTCTAGGGTTCTAAAAAAAATGAAAAGGGAACAGTGCCTACCATAATTTTCTGGGAGTTTGCATGCCTTTCGGTGTATCCTGCATTTGGGGATGAAGTTAGGCTGGCCTGTCCTCATGGGTGACACAGAGAGAAGAACTCTTCAACGCACAGGAGGGGAAGATGGTGCAGCAGACCCAGCCTGGTGTTTGCAGTTCCCAGCAGGACAGTCATGGAGCAGTCGTCTCGGCGGTAACCACCTTGCGATATTTCCTCTTGGAGGGAAGAAGCTTAGGTAGCCCCAGGCAGACTCTACCAAATGCAACTGTGTTTGATTATCTTTTACTGACATAGAGCCAACACGGACAGTTCTCTCACACAAATTACCTGCAAGAGCGATGTTAGCAGAAAGCAGTTTGTCGTCTTCCACCTGGCCCTTCCAGATGAAATGCAGCAGCAACCAAGACCCCCCCATGAAGTGCTCTGGAGTCCCTCCCCTCTCTCTCCCGGCCACAGGTCTCTTTGGCACCAACCCCTCAACACCTGTGTCCCCCCTGCCTCCATGGGGACCTTACACTGAAATCCGTCACAAGACTGTCCCCAGGAGTAACCTCCAGTTACATGTAAAACTTAATTAAGTGAGCCATCTCCCTGCATAAAAGAGGCTTAGCTGTGTGCCCAGAGCTAATTAGCACCAATTTATGACTTTGTGTCATTCACATGAGAAAACTAATTTGAACTCAAGTGTTCCCGGGCAGGAATGACTTCACCTGTCTCCCTCCTCCTCCAGGAACATCTCCCATTTCACAGGAGCTTCAGCATTCAGAGCAATTACCAACCCAGAGGACCCAGAGGGCCGGAGCCTACACCTCAGCCTCCAGGCCAGCAGAGGTGCCAGGGAGGAAGAGCAGGAACAGTGGGTGAGCCCAGTGAGCAGCTGGCGCCTCTAAAGAGATGCCTCCCCCTGAGAAAAGGGAAGAACAAATATGCACTCACACACCCCGGCCAAGCTCCCAGTTTCAAAGGATGTGAGCAGCTCATGTAGGGAGGGCCAGGGCCAGGGCTGCCTTTGTGGGGTCAGGGTGGCAGAGGATGGATGCCGAGGGCTTACTAGGTACCAGGCTCACAACTGGTGAGGTTGGAGCTGCTGATATGCTTCCAGCCTGATAAATCATGTCCACAGACTCACAGCTGGTGGAGCCAGGAGCATGGAGTTCGGTCCCAAGCCTCACACGCTGAACATGGTGAAACAATTCACAAGAGAGCATTGCATCCAGGTGGCAGACAGAGCAAGCTACAACCCTCTCCCCTCACCCGTGACTTAAATTCCTAGAAATGACAAAGGGAAAACACATTTAAAGACATAACAAATTCATTAGGCCTATGATGTGAGAAAGAAATACAGCTTCAATGATGAAGACACTGAGAATTTTAGACTGTTACATCAACTTATGCTAATTACCCTAACTCAGACAAAGCTTCATGACTTGAAAGAGGGTACTTTATAATTTTAAAAATAATAAAACCTAAAATATGTAACATTATTTTAGCAGCTGCATGGCAATAAAATTGATATTCAAGACTGGAAAAATGGATTGTTGTTTTTGTGTGACAGGAAATTTGGTAAAACTCTTGCCTTTTATTTTTTGGAAAGCAGGCCACTTGCCAATGGATTTGTACTTGCAGAGAAGAACAGAGAAGGTTGGTGGGGTGTACTGGCTGTTGGTTCTCTTGAAAATGATTAAAAGAAAGAGATGAGTTCAGAAAAGCAGAGACAGTGTGTACGTGCTAATCATAGGGAACAGAGTCCAGAAATTCTCAGCCTTGCATGGCGGAACGGAAAGAACTAGGCAAATCACTGCTTAGGGGAAGGCAACCAAACTTGCGTCCAACCATTCAACAACAGAATGTGAAATTTCCTAGGGTTAAGGCATTGAAATCTCGGGACTGTTTGTTACAGCAGCTTGCATGAATTACCCTAAGACAATTTTCTATATATTAGTCACAAGCCATTAGAAAGTAGAATGGGGAGGGGGAAAGACCAACTCACAATAACAAGAGACAAGAAAACCTAGGTATGCCTCTAACAGAAAATATGCAAGAATTATCTGAATGCCTGTCAAAGTTACAGAATACCTAAAGAAAATACCCATAGGATATTTTTTGAAGGATATTTTTAAACTGAATAAACATAACACTTACTGAAAGAGATGCTGAAACAATGTCAAGTTTCCCAAAATGGATCTACAAATTCAATGAAATCCTGATCAAAATTGGAACAACATTTTTTTTGAACATGACATGCTGATTCACATGTTCATTTGGTAGGATGAATGTACCAGAACTAATAGAATTCTAATTTAAAACATAATATTAAGGAGAACAGTCAGGCCAGATATCAAAACATACTGTCTTATTATAGAAAGTAAAATAATGCATTTGTGGAAGAATGAAAAAAAACATCAGTGGAACTGAATAGAAAATCTAGAAATATCACTAATGTGATATTTCAGACCAGTGCAGGAAGAATGCTCCTTCAGTGCATGGTATTAAAGTAATTGGCCATCCATTTAGGAGGAAAAAATTTAGATACTTATGCCATGACCAAAAAATAAATTCTAAGTGATTTTGAAAGAATGAAAAAAAAATCAGAATAATTTTATAATCTTATAATGGGGAAGGGTTTCCTGAGTTGCAAAAGTCATAAAGGAAACCTGACAAATTGACTACATACATGGGACAAAAAAACACCAAAACTAAAAGAAAATTGTAAAAATTAGAGAAAGTATTTGTGACATATACAACAGGCTAGAGATTAATATCCAGGATATTTGTTGAAAACCACCCATCACTCAAGAAGATAGAAAATTACCCCAGAGGAAAATGGACAGTAGTCTGAACCATGAGAAAGAATGAATTCTAGCCTGTGTTTTGATGTTGAAAGGTGGGTTTTGGGGTTTTTTTTACCATCTTGGTATGGAATCAGGGATAACTACACTTACTGTGGTGAGCATTTAGTCACATATATAATTACTGAGTCACTATGTTGTACATCTGAAACCAATATATCAACTATATTCCAATTAAAAAGAAGTTTTGAAGATACAATGTTAGTAGAAAAAAATAATCAACAGCTGCAGAATAGTAAGTACAGTATAATCCTATGTAGGGGTTATGCATGTGTGTGTGTCTGAGAAGGCACAGGAAGGACTGAGAAGGCTCCAGATAGGGTAGTAAACAGCAGCTTCTTCCAGGAGGAAAGCTCTCAAGGGTCATTTAAAGTAGAATATGGAACTATCTAAGCTATATACTAAAGTGTCTATATTATTTTTTAACTTGATGAAGAATTGTTATATGTGTACAGATATATATTTTTAATAGACTTTATTTTTTTCAGAATAGTTTTTAAGTTCACAGCAAATGAATGGACAGTACAGTGAGCTCCTGTCCCCCACCCCCATGCCACTGTCCCACAGCCTCCCCCGCAATCACCATCCCGCACTAGAGGGGTGCATTTGTTACAGTCCGTGAACCTGCACTGACACATTTTAATCACCCAAAGCCAATAGCTTACATCAGGGTCACTCTTGGTGGTGTAAGTTCTAAAGATTTGGACAAATGTGTAATGACACGTCCCCATCAGCGCAGTGTCGCACGGGGTAGTTTCATGGCCCAGGAAATCCTCTGGGATCTGCCTGCTCCTCCCTCCCTTCTCACCAGCCCCGGTCAACCATTGATGTTGTTACTGTCTCCATAGTTTTGCCTTTTTCAGGATGTCATAGAGTTGGAATCATAGAGTATGTAAGAAATATGTATATGTTAAAGTCTTCAAAAACATAGACATATACCTGGAATTGTGGATGAACTTAGAAGGTCTGTTGAAAGCTCTCGCAACTGAGAAGTTCAGGTGAGCGCCAGGAAACAGGAGACAAACAGGAGCTGCTGAGCGCACAGAGCCAGAAGAAAGAATCCACCTCTGCAGGGGACACATTAGGGCACAAGGTAGGTCACCCAGAAGGCAAAGCCCCATGACACATAAATTAGAAAACACACTAAAAAACAGGGAGTGTAGAATCAGCCCCGGAGCAAACAGAATCTGGACTCTTCATAAAATCACCTAGAATGCAGGGGAAATGTCCTGTAAGATGGGGAAAGATTAGATTAAAAAGATAGACACAGAAAATTAACAACTCTGGCATGCCTGTGAAAAGAGACCAGATCAAATGTGCTTGGCCGACGGCAAGGTTAATTTCTTAAACTTTGATAACAAATGCATTGTATTTTCATGTCCTCAAAAGGGAGACTTCTGAACTAACAGTACATGGCACCTGGAGTTAGCCTCCAGGTTGTAAACCGAGTGTAAAAATATATTAATTTAAAAAGAACATAATTACCTACCAAGGACAGTTGGAGGAACGTTTTGATCATGTGAAATGAAACGTTGTCAAATCATTTATAACAAGACAGAGAAGGCATATTCTCTAAACTTCAAGCTGCACTGCCCGCCCGCAGGGTGGGTGCTCTCCAGGCAGGCCTTCCTGACGGATGAAGCGG